TATCCCGGACGTCAGTCTGAGCGAGATTAGAATGGCTCTCCAGCACCTTAAAAACGGCAAGTTACCCGGGCGAGGATGTAATTACAGCGGAGCTTCTGAAAGCGGATGGAAAACCGGTACTTGAATTCCTTCAGAAGCTCTTTAATTCCGTCCTTCATGGTGGCACTACTCCGGTGGCGTGGAACAGAAGTGCGGTGGTCTTGTTCTTCAAGACAGGTGACAACGCTCTCTTGAAGAACTACAGACTGATTTCCCTTCTGAGCCTTGTCTACGTGCTGTTTTCGAGAGTCATTACGAATCGTCTCGCACGCAGACTTGACGACTTCCAGCCTCCCGAACAAGCCGGTTTCGGAAGTCCGAGGAGTACAATTTGCCACTATGTTTGGTGTATGTGGACTATGAGAAAGCTTTTGATTCCGTCGAAATTTAGGCGGTGCTGCAGTCTCTTCAGCGATGCCAAGTTGACTGTCGGTATATCAAAGTGCTGAAGCATTTGTACAGTAGAGCTACGATGGCTATCCGAGTACAGAATCAGAGTACGAAACGTATCCAACTGCAGAGAGGTGAAATACAGGGTGACGTTATATCCCCGAAACTCTTCACCGCTGCATTAGAAGATGTTTTCAAGCTACTGGACTGGAAAGGATGCGGTATTAACATCAATGGCGAGTATATCACTCACCTTCGATTTGCCGACGATATATTCCTTATGGCAGAATCGCTGGAGGACCTAAGCACTATGCTCAATGACCTCAATAGTGTCTCCCAACGGATAGGTCTTAAGATGAACATGGACAAAACAAAGATCATGTTTAATGTCCATGTCACACCTATGCCGGTAGTTGTTGGGAACACTAAGCTCGAAGTTGTTGACGAGTATATTATATTATATAGTTATAGTATTATATAGTACCTGGGACAAATAGTCCGATTAGGTAAGTCCAACTTCGACCGAGAGGTCAATCGACGGATTCAACTCGGCTGGGCAGCGTTCGGGAAACTACGACACATCTCGTTAGATATACCTCAAAACCTAAAAACAAAACTGTACAACCAGTGCGTGTTGCCAGTGATGACTTACGGATCTGAGACGTGGTCCTTCACTGCTGGCCGTATGAGGAAGCTCAAGGTCGCTCAGCGAGCTATGGAGAGGGCTATGCTTGGGGTTTCTCTGCGTGATAAACTTAGAAATGAGGATATCCGCAGTAGAACCAGAGTAACCAACATTGCCCAACGGATTAGTAAGCTGAAGTGGCAGTGGGCTGGCCATATAGCTCGAAGAACCGACAACCGATGGGAAAGAAAGGTTCTCGAGTGGCAGCCTCGTACCGGTAGGCGAAGTGTAGGGCGACCCCCCACTAGATGGAGTGACGACCTGGTAAGACATGCAGGAAGTCGATGGATGCAGGTGGCTCAGGACCGTGCTTTGTGGCATTCCTTGGGGGAGGCCTATGTTCAGCAGTGGACTTATGAAAGGCTGTAATGATGATGATGATGATGAAGTAAATATTAAGAACTTTCTTAAGAAATATTTTAAATAATACTTCCTTTGATAACTTCAAATAACAACAATAAAACGAATATTAATAAATATTAGACAAAACTAATAATCTGAAAGTATACAGCGACTGCGTATTCACAACCATTGAAACTTTATTTTCCATTTTTGCGAACCATTTTTTCTCACCGTACGAATGAAACTGAGATGCAAATAATGTGCGAGTGAGATGGCAACATCAGTTTTCCATTTATGAATATATTCTTTAATGGCACGCGTTGTAACATATCGAATAGTCAACTGTCAACTATCACAATTCACGGATATCATTTTTTTAATCAAATACACTAAATCAGACATCGCACAACACTTTTAACCAGTCGACCACCACTTAAATAATTAATTAACTAATTCATAAGATACGTATATTTAACAATTTATACGTTAATATCATGCGATAAACAAATGTTTTAAAATTTTAAGATATGTGACAATGTCTGCATAGCGTTGAAGCGATTTTAATGTACTTTAATTTAGAACAAACTTATAATATATATACAACGTGTAACGAAAACCCTGTGGTTCCCTCTAAGTGCGTTATCAGAGTCAGTATTCAAACGTAAAGAAATTTTCCTTTTTTTTTAAAAAGTTGAACATTATAAAATTTAATTTTAATTAAAAAAATTTGCAAATTGTATGTGGTTTTATTACCTCTAACTGACACGAGCATCGGTGAAGGGGGTTTTTTTTTTACAATTCTCTTACTCTCCGGAAAATGCAGAGGTAATAAAACCACATACAATTCGCAATTTTTTTTTAATTAAAATATTTTTTAATGTTCAAGTTTTACTGAAAAAAGTTATTTCTTTAAGTTTGAATACTGACTCTGGTAACGCTCTTAACGGGAACCACACGGTTTTTGTTACATGTTGTATATATTAAAAATATTGTTAATTTTTATTTCTTATTTAACAGCAGCTGATTTAAATTGGCTTTTACAAGAAAAAATAGATTCTGAACTATTATTGTAAAATATGCTAAGTATTAAGCAACAAAGATCGGAGTGGTTTATATTATTGTTATTTCTCGAATATTTTCGTAACTTCTAGAAATGAATAATTACACCTGTAAAAGATTAAAAATTTAAACATATTAAATAATGAGCGTATGATTAATTAACGCTTAAATTAATTAAAATATGATATGGTTTCATGAAGATTGCTTTTAGAAAATTTTACAGTGATTGCTTTTAGTTACAGACACAAAATTTATGTTAATACTATAATTTTATCTAAATTCAACTGCGATATTCGTTTAGGGAGATGAATAAATTTAATATAAAACACTGCTAGCAGGATTATAAAATTTTCAAAACGAGAATTAATTTTTTATCTTTAATCGAGACATTAAAAATGGCATTTGGTACAAAGAGCTTGTATTCCATTTAATAAGATCACTGTTGAAAATAGATTTGCTCTCAAGACTGGGTTCTAATGATGGCCCTCGTCTACCTGCATCTACATAAAGACTTTCTAACCATTTCATAATTCTATGCAGTGTGATCATCCCTCACTGCTTTTGTCAGTACGATACTCCCTCGGGAACTTTATTTCATTCGAATTCGGATCATTTAAAAAATGTGAAAAATCGAATTTTTAATTTAAAACCGGAAAACCCTGGGCGGATGACAGCCCTAGTATAAAAAAACTTAACGTGAGTCCGTGTTAAAATCGCTTAAAAATAATATTATTCCCAAAAATATGTTGTTGTGTTAAGCACATCAAAAAATCTGATCATTGCGATTGACATTCGTTAAGACGATTTCAAAAATGCACGCCTATGAAAAGCCGCAAATACCCTGTTTTGATTAAGAAAATAAAACAATCGTAGGTAAGGCTAGGCCTACATGCGTCCTGTATTGCAAAGATATAGTTTACTCCTTTTTCGTTATATCACATAAGTAAGTTTTATTTTGCGTTATGGCATGCATGCATGCATATTTATTTTCATTTAAATATGATGATGTGATACAATAACTTTATACATGTGACAGCTGTCACAAAAATCGATAACAACTTTAGAAATGGATTCCGAAACTAACGGTGAAGGTATAAAACGTATAGGTAGTATATGTTACGCTTAGAAACAGGGGCGTAGCTACCGCCGTATCAGCCGTATCAATGATACGGGGCCCCCGGGCTACAGGGGCCCCGAACGTGTGTAAGTAAAAACTCCAAGGACTTCTATGGGACATGAAAGGCTATCACTATTGTCTATAGAAGCAAATAATTTAGTAAAGCTGAAATCGTCTTCAGCTATGAATGCCGCCGAATCGTCTTCAGCTATGTTCACCGAACAAAAGGCAAGAAAAGTGTATGGAATTGTTTGGCTAGCTTAGTTCCTAGGAGTATTAATTGTAATTAATAACTTAAAATCAATATAAAATATGTAACAAAAACCCTGTGGTTTCCGCTAAGTGCGTTATCAGGATCAGTATTCAAACCTATAGAAATATATATTTTTTACAAATCGACCAATTTTTTTTATTTTTATAACTTTTTTTTAAATTTTATGTGGTTTTATTACCTCTTACTGACACTAGCCGTGCTAAAGCAAAGTAAAGCGGGTTGTTTGACAATCCTCTTACTCCATAAAAAAATAGTTGTATACAAACAATTTGTATACAACTATTTTTTTATAGGATAAGGGTGACAAACGAGCACACAGTCCACCTGATGGTAAGTGGTTGCTGTGGCCCATAGACATCTGCATCTATCCTCGATTACGAATCAAAATGCAGATGCGTTGTCACCCGTGAGGACTAAGATGGAATGCCTCTTTTCCAGTAAAAAAGGTCTCCGGTTCTCTACACTCACCATACGAAACGCAGCAGCATTAAGCTGCTATTTTACGCTGGTATTCTGTGAGAGCGTGGTCCTTCCCCGGTCGAGCCGACCCATTCGTGCTACAACTATACCAGTAATATAGCTGCAGCATGGCTCTACCACGTAAAATAAAATATTTTTAATTGTAAAATCAAATTTAAAAAATTATTGGTCGAGTTCGAGAGAAAAAAAAGTTATTTATATAGGTTTGAATACTGATCCTGATAACGGGACTTATATTAATATACTTAACGGGAACCACAGGGTTTTTGATTTTTGTTACATATTGTATAATAATTTTAATTCAATGCAAGCGTCTTTGCTCCTGTTATGAAATCTTTGCTCTTCATTGGGGCCCCAAAACAAATTTTGATACAGGGCCCATCTAAAGCACGCTACGCCACTGCTTAGAAAATTATATTAGAATTCAAAAAAGTTGTAATAAATGCTAAAAATATACTGATTTCAGTACGGAATTTTAGGATTTTGGTATCTGATTAAACTTTTAGCTTAAATTGAACGTGATTGATTTGATTGATGAAAAACTATAATTATTACAACGAAGCTTACAACCGATATTTACGAGGCGTTTTAAGCGAATTTTTATTTCTAGTTTTGGAGATTAATTATCAAATTGTTTTTCTCGTTTGATAATTTGATTGTGAAAGGAAAATAAAGATATAATTTTTTTATAAATCTTCACTATCCATCTCTTAAATATGCTATTTCATGTCAAGTCATAGAATTCAATCACAATTAGTATTTACTACTGACTCTCCGTGCGTGGGCGAGTCTGGCGTGGCGTAGCCAACTCTAATTAAAATAATGATTATTAATTATAAATATGTATATACGTACATATTTAAGGTCTCTATTTTAATATAAATAATATTTTTTACTAAATATTAAACGTAGTTGTAATTCTAGTTGTCATTCTAACGAAGTCGTTCCGACATAGCGCCCTGTGTTTTTATAAGACTACTAGCTGGCTCAGCAGACATTTTTTAGCCCTATTCGATAGGTGGCGCGATAAGTTTCACGATTGTATATAAAAAACGCCACACTTTTTAAGTGTAAATATAAAATTTATTAATAAATCGACTACAGCATCACCTATCAGATCTACAGTTTGTAATTCTGGACCATAAATGGATAATTTGAAATGTTGACTATAGCGCCACCTAGCATCCTAGCATAGATATGAACCATCGTCCCGTAAAATAAATAATAGTGTGTGAATATGACTTCAATTGTAGACATAGTGCCTCAGCGAAATCCCTTGCGTTAACTTAGTAACTCAGGCGCACTTTACCAGATTTTCTACTGACTTCAAAAAACAGACGGCACTCAATTCGACTGTATGTTTTTTTTATGTGTGCTACCTCATAACTTTTTACTGGGTGAACCGATTTCGATGATTCTCAAAAATTTAAAAAAATTAATGATAACTCAGAAATTATTAGTTAGACCTTGATCAAATTTATATAGTACCACATGAGAAGCATCAGCTTTCATTAAAAAAAAAGAATCATCGAAATCGGTTCACCTAGAAAAAAGTTATGAGGTAACACACATAAAAAAAGAACATACCGTCGAATTGAGTACTTCGTCCTGTTTGAAGTCGGTAGAAAAGTGAGTTAACACATCCAGCGCATTTTACCGAAATGGCGCAATGAGCGCTGATAATCTTCCGCTCACCAGATATCACTAGTTGACACTGAGGTAAAGTTTTTTGTAACACAGTGTCATTTAATTGGGAAGTTAATTTTAAATAAAAGTTTATCAATTTCCAGAGTATTATATTAAGCAATATCTCAGTGGTTAGTTCTTTAATATTTTGCACAAATGTAACTCTTTTTGTAATGTTTCTATTTTTATGAATATCTATGGTTTGGTTTATTTATTTATAATTTAATTCATTGTAATATAATTCATTGTACAGAAAGAAATATTAATCTTTAGATTTTTCGAACAAATTAACTTCCCCGCTGTGAAATCTGTCACATATTACACCTCATTTTAAGTCACGCCATCCTGGTGTCAGAAAAAGTCATGGATACCCTCATTGCGCGGCGCAGAGCAGTGTTACACATGTCTACTCAATTGATCATATCGGCCAGAAGTTACACGACGCGCCAAAGATATATTATTTAATGATTTTTCAACAAAGTTTTCCTCATACAGCATACATATAAGCACAAAAGATAAAAATAGGCACGAATAATTCAATTCATAATACTTCTATACATACAGCCTACTGATTAAAACAAGTAACTAGAACCTATAACTGTTAATATGAACATTTTTCTATGTTATATGTTTTTGGGAGTTTCATTATAGCTCGAAAATTACATCTCGACATTGTTTCATTTTCACTTCTCAAAATGCAATTCGATTAATTTCCGTTAGTTATGTGGTCAGTGCGTTTATTTTTCTCAATTTTCTTCAATTGTCTATGGAACACTTATTTTTTTTAATACAAAAAAGGCATAATACGCATCACAATGAGACGTATTTGCGCATTTTTGAATTCTATTTTTTAATACAAAATGATTATAATCAATTTGTTATAAAAATTCTACTTTCCTCATACTTCGCAATAGACTATTATTTGGTTACAATTAAACGTCTTATGCACGGTTTATCTTGACTGAGTAGGCTTGACGTACAACAATGACGTACGTCAATGCTATTCATTGTCGTTTTGCATCGTGCGTCGTGCATGACCTTGGCAGGACGTACGTCAAGATGGACCATGTATAAGACGTTTAAGTACAACAAAATAAAATAGTAGAAGGATTAACTATAACAAATGAAAGTCTAAACTTACACAGACTAAAAATATTTCACCAAAGAGTAACAAACGGGAATCTGTCTCATTGCATTGTACAAATACAGAACACAACTGTCGATTTCGAGCTGAACTTATCTAATCTAGAAATGGAAAAACATAACGCTTTTGATCTTGGGCATAACCACGCGATGGTAGAAATGGTCGAAGGCGGCGAGGCAGCGGACGCACTCGTGGAGGTACACTCGGCAGGCGGCAGCGACCCCGTGCCAAGTGCCTGGCCTGCAGTGGCACTGGCCGTACGGGATGACGCGTTTCACCACGCTCCTAGTGAAAGACATAATACGTGTAAGGATTTATTTTGTTTATTGAACGTGTAGTTTCGGTGTAAGAATATCTACAATCCCACATTGTCCTGTGAGTGTAGTAAAAGTCGTAAGAGAGAAACAAACCTGAAGATGGGCAGCAGCGTCTTCCAAATAATAATTTAAAAAAAACTGCGGGTGGCAATCCGCTTGCAGAGCGTGGCAACTAAGGCAATGCCCTGCCCCCAATCTACGGGGAAGGCCTATGTTCAGCGGACTTTTGATAATCTGTGACAGTAGATGATTTATTGGGAATACACCGGATATTGACTTATAATATGCTGACTTAAACTTAATTATTTAGCATCAAGTCAAACCTTCGTGGTTTTTAGATGTTAATTAGACCCATATACTTAGAATATACTACGCCACTATATTCTAAGTGTATGATTAGACCTATATCTGTATTTTTTTTTGATCTGATAAATAAATTAAAAATAAAATAGGTTCATTTTTAACTGCCGCAATTTCATCGAATAACTAAATTAAAGCATTATCAGACGCTTTTGATGCCGCTGCCGGTTTCCTACTCTGCGTATAGTGTGTCTGGTGTAAAGGTAATGGTTCTCGGACTATCTATAAAAGCCATAGGATTTTACCATAGTATCCTCCTACGGTAACTACTGGATAAAACGTAAAGGCGAAACGAACTGATCGCTAATCAACTGTCCTGTAATGTACTGTCCAGTTAACAGTCATTATAATTTTTTTTATAGAAACAGTTTTGCAGATTTCAAAACCAAACGTATATGGGTGATTCTTTGAACATGTGCATATTACGCGGCCCTTCCCAAATAACTACTTAGTTAGATATAAAGTTATATTCTTTTTTATTTCACGTAAAAGATGGTTCCAGTACTATATAAAGATGTACATAACATTTTCCTATTGTAATAAACAACTGAGTTATATTCATAAACGTTCCTCAAATCTCATCACCATTCGTGTCCCAATTTCCAAATTTTAGCAGTTCATGCTCGAAAAGTTGTAAATAAACCCCGAAGATCGTATATTTTTGTAGTAATTTAGATAGTACACTACATGCTTTACTAATTAGCAAAACTAGACACATTAAAGAACACTTTTAAGTAATTTGTAACGACTTTGAAAATTGTCCCAACACTTTATACTCACTACCATTTGTCCACACAGTCGCAGGGTTATTTTTTTTCCGCGTATGTATTGGTCTCTGAAAGGGTAACTCAGCGGTCGCGCTCAGTTTTGCGCCACGACTCGTGCGGGTCATACGACAAAGAGTCTTTTGGCGCCAACTATAACCTACCTTAATCGCCCAGAAATCGTGTCTGTCAAACAAAAATCTCCTTACCGTTCAAGTTTCCCGTGGTAAGTCTATTATTCTTATTTATCATTTTTATGCACTGTAATAGTCGCCATAGGATATTCTTTGCTTTGATTAAGTTCCCGAGTTAATAAGTTCTATAAAGAACGTATAATGTGAGAAAGTTTACAAATATCTAATTACCGTTTGTACAATTACCATTTTTCCCGTTCGTATTTTGGCGGAACGGTAATGGGAAATCGAAAATGGTAATTAGTACCAGTATAAGCAGGCCTCTTATTATATTGAAACTCCTTACTCCGCTAGGCCAGCCCCCAAAGTCGAATTGTGTTACTACCAAAGCGTGATCAATTATTGCTCGTTTGATATGAACTGACACCACTTCCGCAACAAAATAAAACTACAGACTGACTAAAATATTTCTGGCGAATATGGTAAATATTTCTGGCAATGGCAGTGATATGAATTTTTTGGATGTATTTCAAAACTATGTTCAATCTACATTACAATTAAGCGCAAATGAAATAATTGATGGCCAGCTTAATGTTTTCGTATCATTGCTGTGTGATGATCTAGCAGATCCACAAGAGACTGCATTTGAGACTAACTGCGAAGTTCTTGGTCGTGAAAGTGATACGGATTCGAATACAATTTTAAATATTTTATAGTTATTGTAACTGATCTCATCGCATTTAAGAAATATTTTAGATGAAACCGGTATAGTACTGAGTTCTATTTACAAAGAGTTTTGAAGTAGTGTTTTAGTTGATTTTATTAAGATTACTAGAAAGATAATAACAATTGTTTTTGTTTTGTTTTTGTTTAAGTCTAGGTTATGTTTACCAAAGTTTGATAGAAACTTCAAATGTTTTGTATTTCCTATTTATAATTGCCGTGTTTATCTTGCAGATCTATTTAAGACTATGATTATGCTTATGCTCGGTTTCTGGTGATGAAATAGAAACTAATTCGGATTTCAATATAAATCTGTTTTTAAGTTTTTGTATAAGATTTCATCGAATTTAAGAAATATCTTAGATAGAACTTGTATAAGTCTGAGTTCTATTTACACTGAGTTTTAAACTAATGTTTTAGTTGGTTTTATTTTAATTACTAGATAAATCAATTTTTACTGACCTAATTAAATTATTATGAAAACCGGAGGATTTTCGACAATTTTTTTTTAATTAAGTCATGTAATAAATAAATATGTGATTTAAGTACATCATTCATTTTATTTATAATTACCAATCACGTAGCATACTTACCATTTTTAAAATACTAATTACCGTTTGTTCATATCTCATCACCGTTTGGTGAAAATTTTCAGCTTCAGATTCAGGCCTATATAGCAATTCAAATACTGTGCGTTTGATTTATTTCGTTAATCTGCACTATAAACTTTACGTTAAATTCATAAAAAAGATAATTGGAAGCATTATTTGAACTTAATTAACGAACCCTGAATATGTCTATCTTCAAATATTCACCCATATTATACAGATACAATCGTCATCGACTCCTATCATTATCATCTGCTGGCTGAAGCTGCCGTCAAAATATCTCTAAAATTCACAATGTAACGCATCAACATACTGTGATGAAGTTTTTAAACAAACTATTATAATCGATGATTTCTTAAATACTTGATACTGGTAAAAGGACGAAAAGTACAAGTCCATTATTAAAGAAAAAAAGGAAGTTGTTACCCAACCAAAATTACTATAAAACTTTCGCTTATTGAAAAAAATATTCTTTCGTCTCCTAACTGTTCTAAAACTTAAAAATAATGAAATAATATTTCCACATAATTCAATAGCTTCTGAAGGCAGTGATGTACATGGTGTAGCAAAATTAAAACCCCGATTTCTTACTTTTTTTTTAACCGACTCCAAAAGGGAGGAGGTTCTCAATTCGAGTGTATGTTTTTTCGTATGTACGTTTTGCGATATCTTCGCAGATTGTGAAACAATTTTTTTTATTAAATAGGTTATACTTCAAGGGTGGTCTCATATTATAATATCATATCATATTATATTATATTATATAATTTGGAGAAAAAATTTCACTCCTTAAATAACTTCTTTTTACAGTCGCTTTTTACTTTTTGTTAAAAGTTATAATAATTATAATGATCAATATGACCCTTTGAGTGGACTAAGTAAAATCGAAACCTCAGTAATAGAATATCTAACAACAAGAACATCGTATAACCATTTACATTAAAATATCCATCCCTAGGGTGGGATGTATTCTTCAAAATTAAATGGAACACAAAAAAAAAATTTAAATTTTGTACAACCGACTTCAAATTATATTATTAAGGATAACTCAAAAACTATTGGTCAGACCTCGATCAAATTTATATGGCATCACATGAGAAGCACCAGCTTTCAAATAATAAAAGAATCATCGAAATCGAAAAAATTATGAGGTAACACACATAAAAAAAACATACAGTCGAATTGAGTACCGTCTCGTTTTTGAATTCGGTAGAAAATATGCATTTTATTACCCGTGTTTATAATAACACTAAAGTCTTGAAATTCTGTTTTTCATTGTCGATTCGTTTTCGTTGCAAGAAAGTAGCAACAGCATAAAAATTGCCGGTATTCATTTTCGATACGTTTGACGTGCTTTATTTCTTTCTTCCAATCGCCACTTTAAATTATTTTTAAAACTAATTATGACTTCAATTGGTTTGGCAATACTAAGACGCAATTTTAACAGTGGTAGAGCCACGCGGCAGCTTTTGCTGTCGCACGGATGGGCCCGCTCGAACCGGGGTGGTACCACGACCTCACAGAATACCAGCGTGAAGTAGAGGTTTGCCTCTGCGTTTCGCTTGGTGAATGCAGGTGGCCGGAGGCCCTTTTTACTGGAAATGAGGCATTCCATCTTAGTCCTCACGGGTGGCAACGCATCTGCATTTTGATTCGCAAACGAGAATAGATGTAGATGTCTATGGGCCGCAGCAACCACTTACCATCAGGTGGACTGTGTGCTCGTTTGTCACCCTTATCCTATAAAAAAAAGACGCAGTTAAATAAATATAAAGGTGGAAAATTAATTTTCTTTGCAAGCCGTACTTTTCAACTTACAGTTGACAGATCGCGGTCATTCAAGGTCATTGAGGTTCCTATTCTTATTTGAATCGTATTATATAGGGAACCGCAACTGGAATAAAGCACGTCATAATTGAGAACAATCGAAGTGATTGATCGACTGAGCCGCCTGCCTAAGTCTAAGCCAACCTGAAAGTATTTTAATAATTTTTAAAATACGGATTTTTAAAATTTTTACTTGTTTTTTTTCACTAAGAATTTTGGCTTGGATTCTGGTCATTTAATCCATGTCTTCGTTTCATCCGGGATCTTCGGTTTTTATAGATATTCTTCTTCACAATATGCTGATGCGTCACATTGCGAAATTTTTGAGAGATTTGGACGACAGCTCAACCCAGCGGGCAGTCGATGACGACAGTCACTCAAGTTCATAAGGCAAACAAAATAACTTAAGGATTTTATCAACATTAAAGTACTTGTTCCGTCATTTTCTCTAATAGTTCACAAAATAGTTATAAAATAGTGACATACACAAAATCGCATCACTTTTACATATCAAAATCAACTTCAAACCATTATTTAAACAATAAAACAGGAGCCACAATCCGTTGACGGTCAAGTTCCTGCCAAAACTCTAACTTTTTAAACTTGTTAACCGTTTTTTGGCACAGATAATAAAAATTATACAGTTTAAAAATGTTTCGACAAAATGTTTGATATAATATCGATATCGTCAATCAATCTTAAATCAAATAAATTTAACATGAGTAGAAATAAGCATGTAGGGAACGCGCGTGTCGCCTATAGTACTGTTAATTTGGCTCATCTTCAATATATCGTCAATTTGGTCGATAAAATTTCGTCGAGGACGTCCCTTAAGAACGTTTCTTTTAATTTATAGTGGGTTAATAGACGTTCTTACCTCGCGACTACGCGCGTGTGCGCTGGGTCGGTCTGACGTCATAGTCCTGTATCAAACATCTGCAGCGAGCGAGTGATGACGTCATCCTTCAGACACGACTCCAGAAACTCCTCGATCGTGATCACGCCGTCCTGGTTCAGATCTAACTTTCTAAACACCCTGTCCACCTGTAATTGTAAATGATTTATTAGGGAGAAGAAATTTACAGATTTATATATTTACAGTCTATTGACGTAAATTAGTCATGTGGTAAGTTTAGTATCCGACTTACCACATGAGGGCGAGGATTTACTAAAGTATGCCAGTGCGCGGCTACTATCCTACCTGATGATATGCGATACATACATAAACACTCACGCCTGTCACCCAGAGGGGTAGCCAGAGACTATGGACTTCCATTTGGCACGATCCTGACACACCTCACTCGCCTCCTTCACATCCATATATCTACTCGCACAAAGCGCCTCCAGAGCGGTGATGTGAATCGAAAGTTAATAAAAATTTAAATTATAACTTAAACTAAAAATTTATAAAACTTCAGAAACAAAAAGAGCTGATGATCCTCAAACGGCTGAACGGGTTTCCTTAAATCATAGCTAAGAACACTCTGGATTAAGATACCTATCAAACGAACAAAATTTAACTAAAATAGGTTCATCTGTTAAGGAGCTATGAGGCTACAGACAGACACACAGATACATTTAACAGTGGTAGAGCCACGTGGCAGCTTTTGCTGTCGCACGGATGGGCCGGCTCGAACCGGGGTGGTACCACGACCTCACAGAATACCAGCGTGAAGTAGAGTTTTACCTCTGAGTTTAGCTTGGTGAGTGCAAGTGGCCGGAGGCCCTTTTTACTGGAAATGAGGCATTCCATCTTAGTCCTCAAGGGTGGCAACGCATCTGCATTTTGATTCGCAAACGAGGATAGATGTAGATGTCTATGGGCCGCAGCAACCACTTACCATCAGGTGGACTGTGTGCTCGTTTGTCACCCTTATCCTATAAAAAAAACCACAATGAGGGTAAAAAATTAAAAGAAATACGAAACGAATTCGAAATACGAACAAATGAAGGTAGAATAGTAATTTTCCACTTGTTTTAGCAGTATAAAGTACCGCACAGGCGACTAAGAGCCACTGCGACCCCTTTTCCCTAAAGGGGGTAGATTCCAATTCGACAGAAAGTGTGCCGGACGGGCGTAACTCTCCGGAGTAAATGTTGTCGAAGATACTCCGCGAGTCGCTCACGTCCTACACCTATAGGTTCCGGAGGATACTTTCACTGCCGTCTCTGTGGGTGCTGCTGGAAAACTGTGGACTGAGGTTCAAAATTAAAATGCACGATTTATAAATTAAAATAGCAAGGGAGTGCCCGGCGATTCGACTGATTAATTAGTCGTGAAATTTTATAACTATTACTTATTCACCACGATTGTTGAACACGGTTGTTCAACTACGGTTGTTCACTATTGGTTGGTCACTATATATTTTAACAGATTTAATTAAAATGTGCAGTAGTATTAAAATATCTATTGGTAGTATCAAAATATCTACTGGTAGTATCAAAATATCTATTGGTAGTATCAAAATATCTATCGGTAGTATCAAAATATCTATTGGTAGTATCAAAATATCTACTGGTAGTATCAAAATATCTATTGGTAGTAGCTGGTTTTCTAACACTACTGACTAGCAGCTATTAATCAACTAAAACTAGTTGATTTTATCACTTGTGTAACTGCGAATATCAGTTACCACTTTTTTCGTCTAGCTAACACTTTTCACTGTATGTAACTGCGAATTTTCAGTTACCACTTTTTTCGGCTAGCTAACACTTTTTCAATATATGTAACTGCGAATTTTCAGTTATCACTTTTTTCGGCTAGCTAATACTTTTTTACTAATTCACTATTACTGTTCACTATGTTCTGATACTAGTCACTTCAGTTACTACCGGATACTACTGCTTGTCACTGGTAGTTCTTCCTACTACAACGTTACTGGGTTTCGCCCCCATAAGGTAGACTTCGGCTATACTGTATAGTGAGCCGCTTGCCATTTTCCGTTTTGCCTCTTTATTTTAAAACATTTTCACTATGTAATTAGCACAAATTGCAATATTTTCTATATAAGGTTAAATCTTACACTAATATGCTAAACATCATTAAATCGGCATTTTGGTCCTTTATCTGTATATGATAAAGGTTACTCAATATATTTACATTTAAAATAGTTATTAAACGAAATGTCCCAAATTTTCACAACAGATGGGTTTTTTCAACAAACATTAATTCTTTAATTTTTCTATAACTACCAAATGCGTTTAATTATACAAATTATTTCTTCACTATCGTAATCTATATACCATATGCTAACTAAATGTCATATTTACAACTTTTTTAGAACACAAAAATATTCTCCTTATTTTTAGTATAAACTATTGCGCACATAGAATTATTACGCATAGAATACTAGTACGCGCACGGAAAGTGAAGCAAGTTAAACTAACGCGAAACCGCGTAAGTTCACTCAGCGACGCGTCAGTGCGCAACGTCATGTCTTACGGAGAAGAGCTGGCGAAAAATTGTAGAAATGACCGTTTTTGTTGTAAAATATTGTCACAACAGTAATGATAAACATAAAAGAAGTGATGGTACTGCATTTCTCATAGAAGTTTATATATTTAATTAATTATAAGTACGTAAAACTAAAAAAATACTTACCTAAGCTATCATAATACAAATGTTGCTAGTTGTGGGGAAAAGAATCACAATTTTCTTTAACAAATATTTATTTTCTATTTGTGTTTAAAACGTTTGATCGCAACGCTCTGTGTAAAACTCAAATGTTTATATATAGATACCTACGTCTATAAGTAACATAATATTAACAATGGGTGCCTATTTAAATCTAATACGGAGTGATCAGCTAATCGCGATTCGCTGACGCCATTTTAACGCAACTATTTTATTTTAATTGCTTTGTTTATTGACTAAGTCTACGTTTAAAGTATAGAATAAAAACTTTTCTATTTACAACATCAAGATATTATTAATAAGAACGCCTTTACTAACCAGATGTCACTTTACACCCAAACATTAACCAGATGTTATTTTAGACCCAAACATAGTCTATTTTAACCGACTCCCAAAAAGGAGATGTTATCAATATGTATGTACACTGATTTCTAAGACAATTCTAGATTTACTAGTTGATGTCGTATCACTACGCTTGAGAGTTCATGTTCTGAAAATTTATTAGTGGCCCTTCACTGTGTAGGCAGCGCGCGGTAGCGCGTGCGATAGACGTTACACTACGTTACATCCAGCGAATTTTTTTCAGACTTTATTATAGTAATACGGTATAAGTTAGCCTGCACGACCTACTAGCAAGATATTGCTATTGGTTTGAGATTGCATTCGAGTTTTGTTTTTCTCGATTGTAAATGTGCCATTTTTCATCATCATCATCATTACAGCCCTTCACAAGTCCACTGCTGAACATAGGCCTCCCCCAAAGAATGCCACAAAGCACGGTCCTGAGCCACCTGCATCCATCGACTTCCTGCATATCTTACCAGGTCGTCACTCTATCTAGTGGGGGGACGCCCTACACTTTGCCTGCCGGTACGAGGCTGCCACTCGAGAACCTTTCTTCCCCATTGGTTGTCGGTTCTTCGAGCTATATGGCCGGCCCATTGCCACTTCAGCTTACTAATCCGTTGGGCTATGTCGGTCACTCTGGTTCTACTGCGGATATCCTCATTTCTGAGTTTATCACGCAGAGAAACTCCGAGCATAGCCCTCTCCATAGCTCGCTGAGCGACCTTGAGCTTCCTCATCCGGCCAGCTGTGAAGGACCACGTCTCAATTCCGTATGTCATTACTGGCAACACGCACTGGGTGTACAGTCTCGTTTTCAAGTTTTGAGGTATACCTGACGAGAAGATGTGCCGTAATTTCCCGAATGCTGCCCAACCAAGTTGAATCCGTCGATTGACCTCTCAGTCGAAGTTGGACTTACCTAGTCGGACTATTTGTCCCAGGTAAACATACTCGTCAACTACTTCGAGCTTAGTATTCCCAACAACTACCGGTATAGGTGTGACATGGACATTAAACATGATCTTTGTTTTGTCCATGTTCATCTTAAGACCTATCCGTTGGGAAACACTATTGAAGTCATTGAGCATAGTGCTTAGGTCCTCCAGCGATTCTGCCATAAGGACTATATCGTCGGCAAATCGAAGGTGAGTGATGTACTCGCCATTGATGTTGATACCGTATCCTTTCCAGTCCAGAAGCTTGAAAACATCTTCCAATGCAGCGGTAAAGAGTTTCGGGGATATGACGTCACCCTGTCTTACACCTCTCTGCAATTGGATAGGTTTCGTACTCTGGTTCTGTACTCGGATAGCCATCGTAGCCCTACTGTACAAGCACTTCAACACTTCGATATACCGACAGTCAACTTGGCATCGCTGAAGGGACTGCAGCACCGCCCAAATTTCGACGGAATCAAAGGCTTTCTCATAGTCCACATACGCCAGACATAGTGGCAAATTGTACTCCTCGGACTTCTGTACAATTTGCCGAAGGGTATGTATGTGGTCTATGGTGCTAAAGCCTTTTCGGAAACTGGCTTGTTCGGGAGGCTGGAAGTCGTCAAGTCTGCGCGCGAGACGATTCGTAATGACTCTCGAAAACAGCACGTAGACGCGGCTCAGAAGGGAAATCGGTCTGTAGTTCTTCAAGAGAGCGTTGTCGCCTTTCTTGAAGAACAAGACCACCGCACTTCTGCTCCACGCCTCCGGTGTAATGCCACCATGGAGGACGGAATTAAAGAGCTTCTGAAGGACTTCAAGTACCGGTTTTCCACCCGCTTTCAGAAGCTCCGCTGTAATTCCATCCTTGCCTGGGGCCTTGCCGTTTTTAAGGTGTTGGAGAGCCATTCTAATCTCGCTCAGACTGACGTCCGGGATATCATCGGAATAATGTCGGATAAGACTCGCTCTTGGATCGTTACTCACACTTGCGTGCGGCTCCAACGATGACGTGTACAGCTGCCCATAGAACCTCTCAATCTCACTCAAAATCTCAGGTGCCCCGGAAACGATGCTGCCACATTCGGTCTTCAGCTTTGACAGTTGGCTCTTTCTGGCAGACA